CGCTGGCACCCTGCACCCCTCGTCCTGGGACCCTGAGCCTTTCAGGGCTCAGAGCCGGGGGCTGTTGTCCCATCCTGACCTTCTCTCCCATCCCGTCCCTTTTCTGGGTCCAGGCTTCGAGTCCCCACCTCCACTCAGTCTCCAGGTGGAGCTTAGAGCCCTCTCCTGCTCACCCCAGCGCCAGAATTCTAGCTTGACTCCATCACAGCTTGGGGCGTCCTTGTGCTCCCTTTCTGTCTTCAAGGACAGAATTAGGAGGCTGCAGTGGGTGCAGGTGGGGTAACCAGACCTTGAGGGGTGACCTTAAGTAGGTCACCCGGCCTCCCGCAACCTCAGTCTGGGCGTCTGGCCATCTTATCCACCTTCCTGAGTTGCTGCCGAATTGGTCAAGACTCGAGAGCCTCTTCTGTCTCCCAAGGAGGTAGAGGAGCTGCGGGGCACAGTGAAGGGGCCGAGCTGGGGTCTCCCCGGGGGTCCCTCTCTGCCACTGTGCGTCCCTGGCCATCTAGGCCACCAAACAGGAGGCCACGCCCCCAGGCTGGTGCTTGGCCTCAGGCAGGGGCTGGGTGGTTCAGTGGCCCGAGCTCTTAGGCTGTTCCCTTAAGCGGACATTGGAGACTTCTGCTCCCCCATTTCCAACCCTGTTAACCCCTTTTGAGACCCGTTCCGGCCTGTTCCCACGCCCTGAGGCAGCTTAGCCTCTGTGACAGCTGACCCGCCCTTGATGCACAAATAGATTTGAGGGGGCTTCGAGCCATTCTCTGGCGGTCTCTGATCGATCTTGCTGTCCCCCGGCTGGCCTGTGTGGCTGGGCACATTTCAGTGTGTCCAGATGACCCGGAGAGATGAGGCAACCAATTGGAGTTCAACTGTGGAAGACTCCATGTGCCACCCCGGGTCACCCTGAATGACGCCCTTCCCCCATTCAGCGTCACAGGCCGGCCTGGGTGTGTGCTGGTGGCCCGGAGGACCTGGTGGGTATGACATGCCCTGCAGTTTGATTCCATGAGCAAATCTGTGACGTGGTGTGACTCAGCCACGGGTCTGGGCTCTGCCTGGCACTTCCTCCCTGCGTTCCCTTGTGACACCCTCTCCTGTGCCATCTCCCCAGGCACCAGGGCAGCAGAACCCCCACCTTTGCTGTGCGATTGAAGAAACCAAGGCATCAGTCCCCTCAGCAGTAAGATGCCAGGCCGGGAGTTGAACCAGGATCCTTCCAGCCACGACATCATCTAGTATCTGAGAAGCCTCTCCTGTTCTTTTAGCTTTCTTTTTTAAATGTGAGCGCCACTGCCAGCCTAGCACTCTGGGAGGCTGAAGCAGGAAAGTCACAAGTTTGAGACCAACTTGGGCAATTTAGAGAGAGACTGTTTAAAAATAACTTTAAGAGCCTGTAATCCCAGCACTCAGGAAGCTGAGGCAGGAGGACTCTTGGGAGTTGGGAGACCAGCCTAGGCTACTGTTATGGTTGATACATAGTGTCTATTTGAGGAGTCTAGAGGCTTGGCTAAGTGACTCAGCAGTTCTGCATCCTGGGGTGAAAAGGACATGCCCTTATGCTCTGGGATGTTTTTCATTGTGTCAGTCTGAGAAGTTGGGAAGGTTAACTAGTGATTCAGCAGGGGGCGAGGGTGCTTACTTTGTATCCATCCTGAGCCTGTGCAAGAGGAAGGCCTGGAGATTAGGCCGGTGCTACACATCCCCTGGGTAGGGGCAGCCCGCTCACAATACAAGAGAGGGCAAGAGGCTTGTTCCCCTCTTTTTGCCCTTGCTGCTTTTGCTGTCTTGTGCCGCCTTGAAGCGTTGCCCTCTGCCATGTGCCACTCTGCCTTGGCGCCAGCCGAGTATGGACTGAAACCTCCACAGACTGTGAGCTAAATAAACCTTTCCTTTCTTAATTTGGGCGGCAGGTATTTTGTCTCAGCAACTAGAGAAAAGTAACGAAGACAGCTACAAAGTGAGCTCAAGGCCAGCCTGAAATGCGTAGGAGACCCTGTCTCAAAAAGACAAAGACAAAAACAAAAATAAAAAACCTTAAAGAAGTTGGCATCATCCGTCCAGCATAATTTAGCACCTGGCCTTAGCACACCCGGCTGTCCTTTACCAAGTGCAGGGCCAGGGGCTGCTCAAGCTGAGGGCTCCCAGGTCACTGCTGGGCCGTGGCCTTGGGAGTCCCTAACCCTCAGGGGGAGCCACTGCCATCGGCTGTTAACTCAAAGCAATACACTTCCCTTCATTTAGGAAGTTTCTCCTACGAGCGCTGCCTTCCTTACCACTGCTCTGGGAGGTTCGTGTCACTTAAAAGTTCCAAAAGGTTAGTCTGCCCGCGCTTTCTAACATGAGCAAATCTCATGGCACCACCTTCACAGGGGGCTCTGAGCCCCCCTGGGGATGGCACGGTCTCTCCCCAGCAGGTGTACCCCCACCCCACCAGCTCCTCCTCCTCAGGATCCCCCAGGGCCCACCCTTTGCACCCTCTCCTGCTCAGCCGCTGCCTGGCACCCCCGGGCTGTCTGGAGCTGGGACCGCTCCGGAGGCCCAGGTCAGACACAGCCTTCCACGTATGGAGCCCATGGTGGCTTCCGCCGGCAACTGGAATAAAACACCGAGTCTTCCCCAGTCCGCGGCTGCTCTGGAGCCGCGGGGGACCTGGTCTTCCCGCTCCGCCACCTGGAGTCGTGTGGGCTCTCGCTGTTCCCTGCGCTCCCTGCGGTCCTCTGGCCTCTCTCTGCCTGGAGCTGTCTGCTATGCCCACCAATTTTCGCAGTCCCAGCCGCAAACAAGCAGACTCACCACCGCAAGGCGCAAGGCGCAGGAGCGCGCCCCACGTGAAGGGAGGGGGTCCTCACTTCCGCGGGGTCTCCTGCACTGCACCAGGGCCTGTGTGCGCGCACTGTGTGAGCATTAGCTCACTGGATTTCCATAGCGACCTTGGGAGGCAGGTGCTTATAATTCCATTTCACAAATATGGAATCTGAGGCTCAAAAAATCCACGGGAGACCACACAGCTAGCGACGGGCTGAGCCGGGTTTGACGCCAAGTCAGGCCGCTGCCTGAGCCGAGCGCCACTCTCGCTCTGCTCCTGCCTGGCTCTCAGGCTGAGCCAAACACCCTGCAGACTCCACAGCCCCCTACACCGCCCCCGCATTGAGGACTGAAGCCGGGGAGTGTGGAGCTACATCCCTGGGCCTTTATTTTGTGACTGGGCCTCGCTAAATTGCCAGTCTGGCCTTGAACTTGTGATCTTCCTGCCTCAGCCTACTAACTAGCTGGGGTTACAGCCCGACTTTCCCCTGTCGTTATAAATGAACTTGTGTTCAGTTGGTTTTTTTTTTTTTTTTTTTTTTGGTTTTTCTCCGGTACCGGGAACCAAACTCAGACCTTGTGCTTGCCAGGCAGGCACTTTGCTGCTGAGCTAAATCCCCAGCCCCATGTGTTCAGTTGTTTTTAAGTAATTCTGATTTGCCAAAGAGCTCCAAAAGCTTCGATTGGCCGATTGCTGATTGCCGAGCTGGAGAGCCACCCAGGAAGCCAGGGCTGGCGCAGGGCCCCGCCCCCCCACCGCCAAGCTCCGCCCCCAGCCCCCACGAGGGTGCCGGCCCCGCAGGAGCTCAGGACGGGCGGGGGCGGCGCCACCCTGCAGCAGGGCACCTGGCTGGGCCCCTGCTGCGCGGCGGCTCGCGGCGAGGGGTGCGCTCCAAGCCCCGCCTGCGGTTGGCGGGGAGCTGAAGCCCTCCTCGGACTCGCTACCTCGTCACGCCCTGTTCCATATTCATGATGAAAAGCAAATTTCCATGTTCTGGAGGGCAACCGGTAGCATGGTGCTTGGGAGAGAATTCATGCCGGTTAAATCCAGGGAGGGTCTTGAAAAAATTCCAAACCAAGAATATTTTCTGGCAAGCGTCCTATAGCATTTTCCCGGGATGGTGAGCGAGCGATTTCCCCACGTCTGCGCCCGGCTTGCCTGCGGTCCCTCTCTGCGCGGGCGCCCGAGCTAGCTCGGCCTTAGTGCGGGTGAGGTCCCTGGCACTGCTGGCGGGGGCTGCAGGTGAGATGAGGTGTTCTGTCCTTCCCGCCGGGTTCCTTTCTCGCAAACCCAGCTCCCCCGATTTCTCTGCAGCCTGTGCGAAGAGCAGGGCCCTGGGAATTCCCATCCTACCCCTGGCGTTCTAGTCCTGCCTGGGACTGCTACAACCCTCGCTCTTTGGACTCCCGGGTCACCTCCCTCCCACGCCTGTCCCCCCTCCTGCCAACACTGGGCAGTCCTGCGTGCCACTGTGTGGGAACAAACCTCCGGAAGCACCAAACCTCAAGTGACAGATGCTCCTTGCTTCTCCAGGAGGGACGGCGGGTTCAGAGAGGTTCAATGACTCGCCCAAAGTCACACAGCAGGCAGCGTGGCGAAGCTGGGATGCTGCCCAGCTCAGCTACACTGCTGCTCTGCCTGGTGACCCTTCGTGCTAAGGGCAGGGTCTCCAGGACAGAGAGACCCCGGTGCCCATCTTGCTTCTACCTTGCAGGCAAGTGAATTCTGCTGATTCCTCTACCTATAAAAGGGGTCCGGATTTACTCCTGATGCATCGGGCTGCTGGCAGGGCTGAAATGCAACCGCAGCCAGTAGAGGACCCGCCCCCTACCGGGGGCCCCGGGCTGCGTCCCTGGGAAGGGACTCGCAGGGAGGGAGGCGCTGATGGCACGCCCAGCTTCTCACTGACTGTGCTGGCTGGTTGTCCCGCAGCTCAACTCCCCCAGCCACGTCCAGGGGCCCCTTTAGGTCCCTCCACCGCGCAACCACCAACACCCCTTGAGCCAGGGAGCTGCAGCTGCCAGGCGTCCCCACCCATCCCAGGGAAGGGCAGACGGCGCCTCCAGGGAAGCAGAGGGCTCGGCGCTGCTCGCCCCAGACACGCCCCGCCTCGACGCACCGTCCACCCCCGAGGGGCCCGCAGTCCTTTCGAAAACAGACTCCAACGTGATGTCCAGAAGAAAGTAACAAAACGAAACAAAAAACCAAACTTTACTTGCATTTAGCCATTAATAAATAATTTACAGTATGTACAAGTGGTGACACTCTGCACGGCCGCAGATACAAGGACGCGGTGAGGAGTCCCCACTTCCAAGCAGAATGTGATCAAACACAACCAAAATAAAGTGCTTCAACTTTTTACTTCCAACAGAGGGATCATCTAAGCAAAGAAACAAACAACGAAAAAAACCAAAAACCCAGCTGCGGGGGGCGGGGCTGAGCGCCCCCCACCCCTAGCGTGGTTCGGCCAAGGAGCAGGACCTCGGGGGCGGGGACGGGAGCCGCAGTTCGCAGCCTCCTGGCCAGTGTATGAGAGGTCCCTGGGGACAGCAGAGGGGCCGCTGCAGACGCTGAAGAGCGGGGACGGGGCGAGATGACCCGCCGGACCGGGGTGCACCTCTGGGAGCGGAGACTTTGGGAGCCTGGCTGGTCCCTGGGCTCCGTGGACGGGGTGGGGGTCTCTCACCACTACGGGGCTCCGGGGAAGGGACCAGAGGGGGAGATCCTGCCACGGGCTCCTGACCCAGAGCCCAGACATGGGTGGGGTGAGGCTCCTGGCACAGTGCAGGGGAGGAGCAGGCAGAGGACAGGGCAGGCCAGCTGGCCCTGTCCCCTGGTCTCCTGCCCAGCCCCTGCTGCCCAGGCTGCCCTGCCTCAGGGGAGGGGATGGAGGGTCAGAGTCTCTTCTCGGTGTGGACACCTGGAACCAAGCACTTGTCTTTCCTAAGCACAGTGGAACACGGCACTGAGCCTGGGGCGGCCCTGCCCGAGCCCCACACCAACACGCGCGTCCCTCCAACCACAGGGCTCTCCGGGCGGCGGCGGGCATCGTGGGCGGGCGGTGCCAGGAGGCACAGCCTGCTGGCGCAAGCAACGTCCAGAGCAGCGCCCTGTGGGGTGTACTACCTACTAGAGGGAGCCCCGCCCGCCTGGGGGCGGAGCCTCAGCCCCCAGCCGTCCCGTGGGCTTGCTGTGTGTGCGGGTGTGCGGGGGGTGGGGCGGTGTGTGTGCGCATGTGCAGCGGTCCACTGGGCCTGTTTCAGTGCATTGCGAGGGGAGGCAAGGGGCCGTGTGGGCCATTCCCAGTGTCGCTCTGGCGGGGCGGGGGCTCCAGCCTGGGGGGCTCTGTTCTGCACATTCACACAGCAGGAGAGGGGCAGAGCGGAGCCGCTCTCCCTCTCACACGGCTCCACCGTCACAAACACCACAGCACCAATCACCACAACCTTGTCACGTGCACTAGAGAGAGGGCCGGGTGGCCTCTCCTCCGAGCCCCTGCCAGAGACAGCTGTGAGGCAGATGCCCCACAGGCCCCTCCACCGCCTGGCCGGCAGCTGGCTCTGCTCCAGAACACCGCAGAGACCCCAGGCCACCTGCTGGGCATCTGCACCAGGTCGGTGTCCCCAGCCCTCAGGTGGGTGCAGGCAGAGTCCTTGCCTCACCACCTAGCAGAACACAGGTAGCAGGGCGAGGAGCGCGAGGAGGCCGAGGAGGGGCCGGGGGCCGGGGGTCCGCGCTGCAGCCGCCACCCCGCGGGGCAGCTCCCGAGTCCTCTCGTACAGGTGCAGCTTGTCCTTGTTGGAATGCAGCATCTTGACATCCTCCAGGGCGTAGTAGGCAGCCAGCGTGAAGTTCACGTCGCCTGTGGTGAGGAGGTCGAAGACGCAGGCCTGGTAGTACAGGTCCTCCACAGGCAGCTTCTCCTTGCACTTGGCCACCGCTGTCTCGTAGGGGAAGGTCTCAGGGGCCTCGGGAGCCGGGCTGGTGGCCGCTGGCCTGCGGGCGCCGGGGCCCTCCGCCTGGGATCGGATGGCCTGGAAGTCGATCTGCTGGTTGAGCGGGCAGCCCCGCAGGCACAGGTAGAGGCCCTGGCTGTCCCTGTCCTCCACTGCATTGACCACCTCCTCGGGCATGCGCACGGCGAAGGTCAGGTAGCGGCCCACCTGGCGCACCACGATGGTGGTGCCGATGTACTTGGCTTGGATCTCCACGTGCTGACCCGACACCTTCTCTGTGATCTTCAGGCTGTTGGCCCCATGCTTGTCCCCGCCGTTCTTGGAGCCGTCGGCGAAGGCGGCTGGGAGCTCGTCCATCTCGGCCTGGTACACCTTCTGGTCCACACACTCCTGGAAGTTCTTGAAGATGATGGTGAGCTGCGGGTGGGGACAGAGGGCAGTGGGTTAGGTGTGGGGAGAAGCTGACCCTGTACCTCTGATGCCCCGCCTCGAGGCAGGGGGGAGGGGGGGGGCTCAGATCTCAGTTACAGCTGCACCATTAGGCACTAGTATTTTTCCTTAAAACAAACTCGCCGTTTTATTTTAAAAAATGAACAAACAAACCCAAAAACTCTTCAGAAAAACTTTAGGTCACTGCCCAAATTGGAAGATAAGGTCATTTATTCTATAGACAGATACAACATAATGACAGAAACAGAGCTATGGCTTTTCTTATATGAGAAACCCAAAGTGTAAGTACACTAAAGGGCAAATTAAAGATAGTAGGAAACAGGGAGACTGATCTTTTGTAAAATGGGAAGGAGACCAAGACATGTGGGGAGGTGAAAGCCAGGGGAGGAGAAGGGGACCTAAAAAGAATTAAGCCGCACTATGTACATGCCCAGCTCCCCAGGACGAATGTCATCATCATGTACTGCAAATATGGACTCATAAAACTGAAGACCAAGAAAAGAAATCGGACACAAAATGATAACAACAGCCAAAAAAAAAGAAGTAAAGCTAATTAAAAATAAAAGCTCATTGGTGGTAGGCTGCGAAATGGTGCCCAAAGGTATCAGGCCACGAGCTGAGGGTACCAGCAGCCGCCAGAAGCCAGAAGAGGCAAAGGGTGGATCCTCTCTGGGAGCTTCCAGAAGGACCAGGCCTGTGAGATTTCAGCCTCGTCAGGCTCAGGGTGGACTTCTGAGCCCAGAAGTATAAGGGGAAGGTTTCTGTTGGTTTAAGCTACTTCCTCTATGGCAACTGCTAGAGCAGCAGCAGCAGCAGGAACAGCAGGAAGCTGATCTGCTCCACGAGCTAACACCGTCTCCATGCTGCCAGGGGTACCTGCTGCAAGGGGTCACACCGAGCCAGGCCCTGGAGGAGGGGAAGCAGGAAGGGGCCGGTCACCCAAAGGGACAGAGGCTTCAAGCTGCACGCACTGCCCTGCTAGGAGGAGAAAAGGAGGCGCAGGAAAGAGGGTGGCCCCACACCTGCAGCCTGGGAGAAGGGCCCGTGTGTGCGTCTCCAACAGCAGGCGTCATCCAATGTGCGGTGCCTGCCGCTCTCTCCTCCATGAGCCCAGCCAGCAGGCGACATGGACTGGGGACACGCGTGACACAGGGAGGGGAATAACCACCTTTCCCATAATGCTGCTCCCGGCAGCTCTGGTGCCCTCCTGGAGCCAGGGCAGTGAGAACCTGGATGCCCAGGCTGACCACTCACCTGGGAGTGCCAAGCCTCAGTCCCTACCTGCTGCCAGGGACCCCAAAGGGCAGCCGATCCTGCCTGGGCACTGGGGCATGTGTGTGTGTGTGTGTGTGTGTGTGTGTGTGTGTGTGTGTTGGTTACAGGGCATGATGACAGCTGGGGTGGCTATGTCACAAAGTGCTAAGTGAGTCCCTGGTCTCACAGCAAGTATAGGACGAGGATGGGGTCCCAGAGGTGTCAGACCCCAGGGTAAAAGCAAAGTGGCTGCAGGAGGACCTCAGCGCAGGCAGGGCAGTCACAGATGGATGGGCCATGGAGGTCCAGCGTAGGGACTGGAGCCGAGACGCAGACCAGGGGTGTGTGGCTGCCACTCCAGGTGGCCGGGCACAGCCAGGCCAGGGAGGCTGAGGGGAACCAGAGAGTAGTGGCTCAGCTGGGTGGATACATGGGCCTGGCCCCAGGGGCTGGTGCCTAGAGAAGGAGGTAGAGGCTGCAGGGCCTTCCAGAACCTTCTAGGACAACGGGGTGGCAAGAGCAAGGGAGGTGTCCCTGGTGCTGCGCGTTGCTGTGAGCAGCTCCCCAACACTGTGTGACGTTAGGGGCGACCAGGCAGGATGGGGAGGCACAGGGCTGGGGACCCTCAGGAAACGCTGAGAAGGCCCAGGGCCAGCGTGGCTGAGGAAGAAGAGTCCTCCCTCAGATCAGAAAGGAGGGCAGCCCACAGTGACTGCTGGCCCCTGGGCCCCTGCCTCCGTGGGAAAACAATGAAAGTCGCACTTTCTGATTACACTGGTAGAAGGACTAACGTAGGCAGGGCCGGATCCCATTAACTGTTTTCTCCTGCAGGCCTGTGACCTGCGGGGCGAGGGGCACAGTTCGCGTGTCTACACAGGGCCGGGCCAAGGTCGAGGGGTCTACACTGCGCAGCCCGGACTGTGCAGCCACGGAAGCACTGGACTCGACTGCCCCATTCCCCGGGCCGCAGCCCCGAGCCCACCCCTCTCCACGACGGCAACTTGACGGGCTCAGCCTCCTGCGTCTCCTCTCCGGCCAGCAGCTCGCCAGCACCCTGCGAGGTGGGCCAGCCGGGTGGTCTGCACCGTGGGTGGTCCCAGTGTCCCTGCCTGGTGGGCAGGGCCACACAGACACTGGGGAGGGGGCCGCTTTCCAAGGGCCATCGCTGTCTCCCTGGAACAGGAAGGGCTGCTTTCGCTCTGATCTCTCCCTCCCTCTCCCTCCCTCTCTCTCTGGCGCCTCCTGAAAGGCTGACAAGCTGCCTACTCTCCTTGGCACCCGTGCCAGCCTCAGCCACAAGCAACAGCATGAAGGGGCCTGTCGAGAGCCAGTGGCACGCTGCCAGCAGAGCCCCGGGCTTTTCCCCTGCCACACGAGGGTGAGCCCGGGCTTCATCGGCAGCCTGGTCCGAAGCCAGTGCTGGGACACAGCAGGGCACAGGGCTGTCCTGGGGAGGGGCGGCGGCCTGAGATGCAGTCTGCAGAATGACAGGCAGGCGAGGGGGTCGCAGGAGAAACTAATGTGGGGGAGAAACTGGCAGCGGACAGCCCAGGTCCTCTCCTCCCGAGCCTCGGTGTCTTTGCCTCTAGAATGGGTGCTACCTGCACAGCTGGGAAGAGGCAGCCAGAGGCGGGTGCTGGGGACCATTATTTGGGGGATAAAAACTCCCTGCCTCCCTCAAGGCACTGGGCCATCACTGCTCTCTGCCCGGGGCTTGCCACTGTCCCTTGGGGGCCAGTTCATTGGAACTGGCCGGGGTCCCAAGTCCCTCTGCACCCTGCTGCCCAGCGCCTTCTGCTGGGCTCTGTTCTCCTTAGCCTGGGCGCTGCGGGCAGGGAGAGAAACCTGGTGCCCAGGGTTGGCATGGGGGCGGCAGGGGGGCACGAGACGGGCAGGGGCCTCCAGGAAGAGGCAGGGGCAGGCCAGGGCACTGGGGACTGGTGTTTCTCACCCAGGGACCACAAGGCCCCCATCCGGCCTGAGATCTGAAACTGGCCCGGCCACAGGCCCCGGTGCTGTAACTGGCCCCCACAGGAGCCTGCTGCAGAGGCCCCGAGCCCTCGGCCTGCGGAGATCAAAGGCAGCTCAGTCCAGCAGCGGCTGGGTTGGTCCAGCCCTGCCACATGGCCCCGTACCCTCTGGAAACCTCTGGCCTGGCACAGAGATGAGGGCTCCCCCCATCCCTGCTGGGTAGTTCTGGGGTCCACAGTGCCCAGCAGTAGGCCTAGATTAGAGCAGGCATTTGAAACCCTCAGATCCAGTGAAGGAATTAAAGCCACGAATGGATGAATGAATGATTCATCCACTTGGTTCATGGACAGCGCTGCTGTGCTCAGGGTCCCAGGGTCTCACCTGAGAGCGGAAGTGGCACCCGGCAGTGTGCTGCCCGAAGCCTGCCTCGCCATGCTACCCCCAGCCCCCGGAGCCAGCAGCCCGGCCTCCTCCATCCGCGCCACAGCTGCTCCAGCTCAGCCATCACACTTGGCGTTCACACCACTGAGAGTCCTCGACCCTCTCACACAGAGACCTGCCCCACACCCCTGCCAGCCCTCAGGAGCCCGCGGGGGCACGGGGCGGGGAGGCTGGTCCCCTCCCGAAGGGTATTTGCCACTAGATTTAGAAGCCGCAGCCTCAGGCTCCGGCACAGTTTATCTTGGCTCTGGCAAGCAAGGGCCACGGCCCTGGGGTGGGTGAAGGGCGCGTGGGGCAGGCGGCTTGGTCCTGGTGTCTGCAGAGGGTGGCGAGGGACAGACATATGCCGAGGGCCTGGTGCAGCATCCACAGTGAAGATCTGCTTGCTTCCTACCTGGCGGGAGGGCCCAGGGCCACCGGCGCAGAGGGAAGTGGTGGGGGTGGACATTTTCCTGGCCGCCCGGTCACCTTGCTGTCCTCTCCTGGGGTGTGACAGGGTGGGAAGGAACAGAAACGCCCTTGTGGGCCAGCCTGGCGCTGCCCAACGCGTGGCCTTCCAACATGGCCTTCCTGGGAAAACAGACCCGCTGTGGCCAGGCCAGCCAGGAAGCCCCAGGGGCACAGAGGCTGGAACTGGGGAGAGACGAGTCCTCGCCCCTGGCTCTGAGGGCTGCAGCTGCTCTCCAGTCTCAAGGCCTCCTGGCAGGTCAGGTCTGACCCTGAGGTCACCAGAGACCCTCCTCAATCTGAGGAGGGGAGGGGGACTCTGGGGCGGACAGGAAGGACCCTTTCCTGGGGCCATGGGCCACACCTGTGGCTGCCTCTGGCAGTGGCTGTTTGAGCAGGACTTGTCCTGCTGAGGCCTCCTAGGGTCAGAAAATAAGTGGCTTTCAGTGGCCTCTGGGGCCCCTCTGGCCCTGGTCAAATCCTTGTTCTGTGTTTCTGGTTTTTTTTTTGTTGTTTGATTTTTTTTGAGACAGGGTCTTGCTATGCAGTTCAGCCTGGCCTTGAGCTCACTTTGTAGCCCAGGCCGGCCTCGAACTTGCAATGATCCTCCTGCCTCAGCCTCCCGAGTGCTGGGATTACAGGTGTGCGCCACCACACCTGGCTGCTCTGTGTTTCTGGCTTACGGCATTTCGGGGGAGGGCTGTATGGTTCCTCAAACCTCAGGCTCCTGATCTGTCCAATGGGCCTCCCCCTGGGAGGAGGAGGGAGCCCCAGCATGTCCTCACACCCTCCTGTCTTCCTCTTTCCCAGACGCACAGGGCCCGTCTGTCTCTCAGCGTCCAGGTGGGACAGAAGGACAAAGGGCAGGACCGCGCCCAGCAGCCGTAGTTGCCCTCAGCGTCCCACCGCCCTGGCCTCTGACACTGTGGGCAGCTTGACCATGGGTCCGAATCCTGGGGCCTTAAACTTTCTCTAGATTCACAGACTGCACAGATTTCCACCGAAGCACACAAACAGCCCCAGCTCCACACTACTGTGCCTCTTTTAGGAGGGCCTGCGCTTTATTTTTCTTAGAGTATGTACTTTAAAGTCTGCCTAATAAATCTCTTTATGCCTCTTAAAAAAAATAAAGATCACTAGGGCCTTTAAAAACAAGCCATCTCTGACCCCATGCATACAGCTGTACGGAGGTGCTGTGTGACTGTCCGCTGCGCCCTGTGCAGGACACAAACTGCAGCCGCAGCAGGACGCCTGCCAGGGACCCCCTGTCCAGTGTGACGTCTGTCCCACGAGGGCAAGGATGGAGACATGCAGGTCACCACCCCGCCTCTTCACTGGCTCCACCGTCCCACCAGGATATCATTCGGAGGTGAGAAAAGATTACTCCATAAGTCTGAAAATACAGTTTTGGGGAACATTTCTACTCTTATAGTTGGCTGTGCTGGGGATCAAATCCAAGGCCTTACCTGTGCTAGGCAAGCACTCTACCACTAATTTATGTCCCTAATTCCCTTTTTTGAAATTTTGAGACAGGGTGCTGCTAAATTGCTCAGGGTGGCCGCGAATTGTTGATTACAGGTGAGAGTCATCACGCTGGGCTCTAAACATTTTTTTTTTTTTTTTGACAGAGGGTCTCCCTGTGTAGTTCAGTCTGGGCTTGAACTCACTATGTAGCCCAGGCTGGCCTCAAACTCATGGCAATCCTCCTGCCTCAGCCTCCTGCGTGGTGGGATTACAGGAGTATGCCACCATGCCGGGCTTCCAAACTTCTTTTGACAACACTGGTAAGAAATCCATTTATATCTGCACCCAGCAGTGTATGCACACACACAAACATACACGCATTAGAAATTCACTTACCCAAAACACTCTTACGCTGAACAACATACCATGCTATCTTGTTCTACTTGCCCACTATTAGGAATTATCTACAGATATGTACACTGCTTTCTGAAACCAGAGTACAGACTTCACAAAGCCCTGCGGAGGGGTCTCCGCCTTTTTGGCACCAGGGAACGGTTCTGTGGCAGCCAATTTTCCCACCGACTTCAGTGTGTTGGGAGGTGGGTGGGTGCGCTGGGGGATTATTCAAAGCAGCAGCAACCTAGGTCCCTCGCATTAGACGTCCACAGTAGGGTTGAAGAGTGGCCGCTGATCCAACGGGAGGTGGGGCTCAGGGGGTGATGCTAGCCATCAGGGTGGAACTACAGATGAACCTTCCTGGGGTGTGGCCAGGTTCCTAACAGGCCGCCGAAGGGTACCAATGAGAGGGGGCTGTTGGGGACCCCTGCCCTGGGGGACAGGGAGAGGCGGAGCTGTGTTGGTGTCCTTCATAGCAAAGGTCTGCAGAGCCCTCCGTCCTAACCCACGCGTCCATGCGCTGAGAACACGCGGGGGCGGAAGGCACGGAGGGCTGCGAGCCGTCCCTTACCTTACTCGTGGCGGTGGCGGCCGAGCCAGGCAGCACCGGCGTGTTGGTGACCTGCACGTTCAGGTAGTTATTGTCGATGAGCGGCCACGCGCCCTGCACCTTGCAGGTCTGGAAGCGGTCTGTGAAAGTCCTGAGGTGCGGGTCCCCGAAGAGCCCACAGTGCGTGTAGTTGGGGGCAGCCGTGTGCTTGTGGAAGCTCTTCTCGTAGTGGCAGATCTCAGGGCTGTCCGAGCGTTCCTGGCTGTCCCCGGCCGGAGCGAGCGTGCGCAGGCGCGGCTGCGAGGTGGGGCCATCCTTGGAGCAGTTGTGCTGGCTCATGAGGTCCTCGATGCCATGGACCGCCGAGTGGTAGGCCAGGTCGCCCCGGCAGGTGCGCGCCGTGCGCCGTGTGCACAGCGCGTAGGTGCGCAGGGCTGCGCAGAACTCGGGGGCGTCGTCCGCGGCCGGGGCGTGGCTGCCTGAGGTGGCGCTCCAGAACTCAGAGTTGCACTTGAGGATCTTGCAGGGCGAGGTGGCTGCGGGGGCCAAGAGACAGCTGTTGGGGCTGCGGCTCAGCGACAATGCCCCGGGGCACCTGCCACACCTCACCTGCCACCCATGCCGTATGTTCGCAGATGGTAAAAACTCCCCTTGCCGGGCAGTGGCGGTGCACGCCTGTAAGCCCAGCCACTAGGGAGGAGGTAGGAGGACTGCAAATTCCAGTTAGCCTGGGCAGACCTTAAAAATTAAAAAGGGGCTGGGGTGTAGGCCCTAAGTTCCAGCCCCAGCTCCACAAACACAAAACAAAGCCATCAATCCCCCCCTCCCTCAGGGTGCTGTAGGGTGGGTCCCGCCCCATCTGACCTTCTAGATCTGCACAGCCTTGGATACCCACAGTGGCCAGGCACGCGGACCAGCAGCTCAAAGGACTGCAGAGAGGAGGAGTAGCCCAGTTCTGTGGGAGCCCAGAGCCTCCTCCCCCACCTGTTTACATTTCATGGTTCTCCCCAAGAATTTTGGCAAAATGCAATGGAAATTTTGCAGAGACTGAAGCCCCATTCTCAAGAGTGTGTTCCCAGCTCTGCCAAGGGGTGACCCTGCCTCTCTGTGATTCTTTATCCTCATCTGGAAGGTAGGGTAATATCAGGCCTTGGCATGGGGGCACTGCGAACGCTGTTTATCTGCTGTGCAGCTGTGAACGCTGACCGCTACCACGGCATTAGCGTGGTCACAGAGGATCAGCTTCCTTCTTGGTCACGGTGGCTGCATCCCTCTCTGTCCTGCAAGGTGGGAAGCTACCGAGAATGTAATCTTGGATTTGCCCTAATTCATGTTTATTTTTTAAGAATAAATATTCGTAAGTGTGGAGACCTTGGCGTTGATGAGCCAAGATGACCAAACCTGAGAAGCAAGGCTTTGGGACATGTGAGTTACAGACCTGGACTTAGGCACCTGCCCTTTCCCGGGCTTCTGGGTCCTTCTGCCCAGCACAGAGGCCACGAGTCTCCAGGCACACACACCTGGAGCACATTAGGTTCCTATGCAGATTCCAGGAAAAGGGGGCTGGAGGACCAACCAGGGGGCCCCCACCCAGGGCTATCGGGGTGATTTTCAGAGAGGAACAGGGCCACAAATCTGGGAATTGGCTCAGGATCTGGGAAATGTCATTTGCTCCCCTGGGTTTATCTATACAGCCGAGATGCACTTAAAACCAAGCACAGAACTACTTTAGGGCGGGTAAAGAATGAACAAAAGGTATGTCCACCTTCCTCCTGTGTCCCTATTGCTGCACCTGCCCCAGCGGTCTCACAGCGTGGTCCTGCCTATCCAGGGGGTGGGCACCCTTCTCCTGCAGCAGACGTCACCTGTCCACATCACATGCACCTGGGACTCAGGCTCTGCCCCTTATAGGACCTGCTTCACACACTGTTGGAAAACAAGGTTGTTTCAGGTGGTCCCTGGGGGGACCTGTTTCCTTTGGAGAAGCGACATATTTATGTACATGAACACTAGGGAGGAAGTCACAATGGAAGAGCTACAGATACCTCGTTTTCATAGCTTCATGTAAATAGAAGAGGGGATGCACACATGTAATCCTAGCACTCTGGGGGGCTGAGGCCAAAGAATCCCAAATTCAAGCCCAGTCTGGTCAACTTAGTGAGTTAATGAGAACTTCTCAGAAATAAAAAAAAGGGCTGGGGATGTAGCTTGGTGCAAAGGCCCTGGGTTCATCTCCAGCACTGTATTACAAACTAAAATCAGGCTAAGGCATAATACTCCCCAACCTGTGATGCCCCTGGACTTTGAGACTGGCATGTCCTGGGTGGGAGCAACCCCAGGTACAGCTGCTGGCAGAGGAGCCAAGGGAGTGGTGTATATGAGACCTGCTGGTGTAGCTGTCAACCCTCGTGTCTGCCCCTGTGGCCTCTGGCAGCGTGGTCAGTCCCAGGCGCAGGGCATGCTGACCTGCCCCTCTGTGTCCCTGGAGTTAGGGAGACGCACACGGGGCCAAATCAACCGAAATGGACATGGACCTAGCATTCACTGATGGCCACGTGCAGGCTCGGGTTCACTTCCACTCCTCACCAGGACCAAAAGAGAAAGAGGTCAGGAAGGACACTGCCTGTCTTTTGCTAGTGGAACTCATTGGGACATGAGCAGGAGCTGTGCTGGCCACAGGCTCCCCACCAGATCTTGCAGAAGAGCAGTGACAATGAGGTCTCAGCCACTCCCTGGTGCTACAGGCATTTGGACTCACCTCCTTAGCCCCGCCTCGCAGAGGCCCTGCCTTGGGTGTCAACAAGTCATTTGACAATCTTATTAACCCATGGAACCCTCCAAAAGGCAGGGCGAGGCCAGACCCCTCCGCAGTGACTTCCACCTCTCTGGGGACCCTCCTATGACACTGAGGCCCCTTCAGCCAGCAGGGCTGTGGTCCCCATGCTCCCTGGGCCCTGCGGCCAGCTGACCAGTTCCAAGAGGCCATTTGTGGTGGGCTGGGCAGGACTGTCCTGCATACAGTGTGGGGTCTAAGCGGCATCCCACCCCTGCCTTTCACCCAAGACTGGGTAACCCCACAGGTTCTTGAGCCCTAAGGGGAAAATGGTGACAGAGCCCTGCTGGCCCGGGACTTGAAATCCAGCTCAGAGCAGTGCCGCAGAGCAGGGGGAAGCTCCTTGTCTCCTTTTTTCTTAGCCACCTGACAGAGCACTCCGGGGTGGGCAGAGTGGTGGGTGGGCGGGAGTCAGTGACGGGTGTGGGCACACTGGGCACTGGCGGAGGACGTCCGGCTCAAAACCCCACCCCCTTCCTGGCTAGCAGTAGTGAGAAACGTGCCTCTGCCTCGGTTTCCTCGATTGCCCAGTAGAGGCAGCACTTGCTTTGAGGGTGTCTGTGGCACACCTGAGACCTGGCGGGCACTGAGACCAGTCCAACACACGTCTCAGAGGTGAGAGGTCATGGAAAGGCTGGGATGGCAGGGCTGGCTGCTGCCTGATCCGACGGGAGGCCTGGCTGGCACCCAGGACTCAGCAGACCCTCCCACCTCCACTCAGACCCCCAGCTCCTTCACCCCACTGACCTCCACACCCACTGGCCCCCCAAGGTCAGCCCGGGCCCAGACGACTATTGGCCTGCGTGGGGGGCACATGTCCCATTGGTCAGCGGTGGTTGCAGCCCACCGCCTCCCCTTCCCACCGGCCTTTGACCAGGGAGGTGCTGCGGGCTGAACTGGGTCCCCCCAGACTTGCAGACTGAGCTTCTACCTCGGTCAGGTGTGTGACAGTAGATGCGGCGCGGGCTCTGGGAAGTCAGTGGGCTTAGCGGAGTTCATGTGGGTGAGGCTGCCGGGAGAAGCCAGCAGTGTGCGAGGTAGGCATGGGGCGCCCGCCCAGACCTCGGACTTCCGCCTCCAGGATAGAGAGAAAGCAGTGTGTTCGTCCACACCTCCTGTCTGTGATGCGGTCATAGCAGCCTGGCCGATTAACAGAGCAAAACCTCACCCCTCCGCACCTTCTGGTCCCAAGTGTGCTCCGCAGGGAGCCAGGCTTCCGAGGACCAGGCTGACCCACTCTGCAGCCTGCTTTCCTGTCTCCCCACACCCAGGGGTGCCCAGCACACAGACACCCTCCCCGGCTCCTTGGAAGGACTGGGGATCAAAGAAGCTGGCAAAGCGAGCCCTGGCAGGGCAGGGGAACCCAGCCTCCACATCCTCACTGTGGGCACAGGGCGCTCACTTCCCGTCACCTTCCCTTCCTTCCCCAAGTTCTCACGGTGCCCTAAAATGACTCCTCCTCCCGCCACGCTCGGGGCGATGGTGCAATCAGAAACTGCTGAAGCACAAGTCTGCCAACTCTGCCTTTGCTAATGAGTAAGCGACAGACCCTGGGCTCTGCGTGGGAGAGGAGAACGGGGACACCTGCAACTTCTGCACCCCAAGAACGGGGGGGGGGACCTCAGCATTAGTAGGTGACAGTCTGCGTTGTAGGACAGTGCCCTGGAGGAGTCTAATGTGGGTGACTGCACTTTGGGAGGTGGTGGGGGAGCCAGGCAACCAGGGTCCAATCCAGCTCTGCCAGCCCTCGCTGTGTAACTATCTGTGTAACCACCCCTCGCTGTGTAACTATGCGAAGCTTCACCCACCTCTCCGAGCCACGAAAGTGCATGGGGATCTGCCCGAGGAACATGGAGAGGAACAAGAGGTGCTGATGTCAACACAGCCCGGAGAACTCAGGAAGGTCCACGAGAGTTGTGCGTGGCTAACTTTGTTCTCTATTCAACCCTAAGTTAGGGAGAGGCAGACGCAAATCGCGGCTAATGTGTACCGAGCACGAGTATGTGCGGCACGCTGTCCCTGTGTCCTTTGACCTCTGTGACAGCCCAAGATTTACTGTCCCCATCCAGCAGACAGACAGACAGACATCAGATGACTCCCATCCAGCTTCCTAGACGGAGGCAGGGTGCAAACTTTAGCCCTCAGATCTCAGCCCGAGATGCCTTCTTATCCACCCTCAGACCTTCGGAATTTCCACGCACACCGTGCCAAGCAGCACCGGCCAGCCGGCCCCAAAGATGAACAGAGGCTGGGGTTCTGGCCCTGCCCTCGAGCAGGTGACTAGGGGAGTGGACTGGGTGATTGGGGCGGGTATGGTAGTGGGGTGGGCACAAGGGCTGGCCCTCACTCCAAAAAAGGATCATGATGGTAATGCCCTCTTCCCCTGCCTGTGCAGTGACAGGCTGCCTTTTAGCTGGATCCTATTATGATCTTTCTCTAGTACCAGGGATTGAACCCAGGGCCTCTGCACTGAGCTACAGGCCCAGCCCTCCTTTACTTTTTATTTTGAGAGAGTCACGCCAACTTGCTAAGTTGTCCAGACTGGGTTTAAGCCTGAGATCCTCCTGCATCAGCATCTAGGAGTGCAGGGGTCACAGGTATGAAACACCACACCCGGCTATACTACTATCTTGAATAAAGGACAGAGATTTTTATCTTCCTTGTACAGATCTGATCACAGAGGCCTCGGGGTCAGAACTGGCT